AAAAGTTAATTTTTTGTGAAAAAGTTGTTATTTTAAATCCCCCCTCTGTGGGCAGATAAAGGGTCAGATTTACAAAACAAATATACCAAATGATAAGTAAAGACATCAAGCATCTATATAAAAAAAAATTATATTGATATGTTAATTTTTGAAAAAGTTAGAGCATTATTAAGTTAAAAATATAAAAAAAAATTATTTTACAAAAATCGTAATTTTTTATTAACTTTGATGTCAACTTTCACCACGAAGACAAGTCCAGAGGTCAAATTTTTTTTTTTCAAATTAAAGTATATTACATTAGCTTTAATTTAAGATATATATAAAAGTGTCAGACCTTCCGGAACATTTTCAAAAGTTAAGTTGAAAAAGTTCTACTTTCTATATGCATTTTTTATATTTGAAGCCCCCCCATATATAGGGAAATAGTCTGATTTAAAAAAAAAGTATATCCAATGAAAGATGTATATAAATACTACTTCTCATGAAAAAATTGTATTGATCCATACATTTTTTAAAAAGTTATAGCACTTTAAAGTAAAAAATGTAAATTATAAAATCGAAAATTTTCACACAAAAATAGCATTCGGTAGCCGTTTTCACCATGAAGACAAGTCCAGAGGTCAAATTTTTTTTTTTCAAATTAAAGTACATTACATTAGCTTTAATTTAAGATATATATAAAAGTGTCAGACCTTCCGGAACACTTTGAAAAGTTAAGTTGAAAAAATTCTACTTTATATATGCATTTTTTATATTTTAAGCCCCCCCATATATAGGGAAATGGTCTGATTTAAAAAAAAAGTATATCCAATGAAAGATGTATATAAATACTACTTCTCATGAAAAAATTGTATTGATCCATACATTTTTTAAAAAGTTATAGCACTTTAAAGTAAAAAATGTAAATTATAAAATCGAAAATTTTCACACAAAAATAGCATTCGGGTAGCCGTTTTCACCACGAAGACAAGTCCAGAGGTCAATTTTTTTTTTTCAAATTAAAGTATATTACATAAGCTTTAATTTAAGAATATATATAAAAGTGTCAGACCTTCCGGAACATTTTCAAAATTTAAGTTGAAAAAGTTAATTTTTTGTGAAAAAGTTGTCATTTTAAACCCCCCTATATGGGCAGAAAAAAATATACCAAATGATAGGTAAAGACATTAAGCATCTATAAAAAAAAAAATTATATTGATATGTTCATTTTTGAAAAAGTTACGGCAGTTTTTAGTAAAAAAAATTGAAAAAATTTCGAAAATTAGCGATTTTTAAATTTGTAATTTTTTTGGAGGTTTCCCCCATTTACGGGGAACGAGGGAAATTTTTTCAATTTTGAAGGGTAATGTCTTCGACTAGATACGATTTGTGATCTTTTGACGTATCATTGAAAGAAATCGGTTCGTTGAGAGCTGAGAAAAAGTGGTAACAGACATAAAAAAAAAAAACACATCATAGTAAAACCAATACCTTCTCAGCTTCGCATCGAAGCTAAAATTCATGCCTAAGAAAAATGTTAAAAAAATGACGTGTGTCCTAAGATTGAAACAGACAATTGTTTTTCAATAAATAATAGAAGTAGTAGTTCTAAAATAATGGAAATTTTAGAAAAATCGGATTACTCTATTACAAATTTTTTAAATTTTAACTCAGATATAATCGATGATATTTGTAGAAAACTTAAAATACGAATCAATATAAACAATAGGAGATCAGTATATAAAGAATGTATAAACATTTATAATATA